CCGGGCTCTTTGAGAGGGGTGGAGGAATAGAACTCAGGTGGTCCATTTTGGCCACTTAGCAAGCCAAATGCCCTACCCGCTGTGCTGTCCCTTGGGTATTCATTTTTCATGACGAGAAATTCACTGAGTCTCCTTGTGTGCATTTTGGTAGTGCTGTCAGTCATCTGTTTTCTTCCAGCCCAGAAGCTTTGTTTTTGAGAATAAATCTCCAAATTTTTGCCTGGATTCAAGCCTAGTGGTGGTTATCTAGATTCACTGAGATATGTTTGTGTTTTGGGGGACAATGTCTCTCTGGTAGTGCTTGGGAGTACGAAGACCATCCCCACAGAGATGCCTGACTGGTTGGGGGTAGGGTGAGTTGTGGTAGTAGTATTAAATTTGTCTGCAAGGATCTACCTTCCCAACCCCAGACTTGGTCTTCAGATTTTATCACATTTTTGCTATTTGACCCTGTCTTCTTTCACCCTTCATTTTATAATCACCTTTTTTAAATGAAGATTGCCAGGCAAGTAATTATCTTCTTGGAAAAACACTGGAATTAGATTTCTTTTGCAGTCAGTCTGACAAATCAGTTTCCAGTTGACTGAGAACTTTACTGTGAAAAACAAAAGGTTGAAAAAAGAGCAGGAAAAAAGAAGGCGAAGAGTAATGATCAGGACTTTAACTTTTTCCACTCATGACTTTTTTTTTTGACTGAGAAATTTTGATGTGATCCTGTGTATATAGGTATGTAAAATAGGTCTACCAATGAAGCATGCATTACTAATAAATCATAAAGAAATTTATTTCAAAACATTCTTTAAGAGTTATGTGACCCCACAAGAACAGAAGAGCTGGAGGGGCATTTTTGCAAAAGAGGAAACATGAACAGCAAAGAAATATCAAAACATGTGTGCCATCAGTATAATTATGAAATGAAGACCACCAGATAGAGATGAAATTCAATACAAGTGCAAATCAGAGAGGTTGGAACTCAGAGGCGACTCCTGCATGCTCGTGGGAGTCAAGTAGGAAAGGCACTTGGGAAGCAGTTTGGTGGCAACCTCAGTGGGACATTAGGCTGTTTTTTTTCTTTTGTTAAATTTAAATTTCTATTAAAGGCACCACAGTTTACAAAGACATTCAGTATTGAGTTTCAGGCATACCCTGTTTCAATACAAATCACATTACTAGTTTCTGCTTACTTCTATCAGTGTTCCCAGTTTCCCTCTCGCCCTCACCCACCACCAGGGTTGCTATAATAGGCATCTTTTCTTTTTAAGGCACTGTGATTTATAGTACCTTTTTAAGGTACTGTTACCCATAGGGTTTCATTTATCTGCATATCCCAACCACGCCTCCTTCACCCTGCACAGGAGTTAGAGGCAGCAGGATTCACAGCAGGGTGGTCTGTAAGAACCAAAGCTGAAAGCAGCCATCCTGTCTATAAGCAGAAGAAGGGATATGTAAATAGTGGTATTGTCTGTCTATTCCAATAAGAAGCAAACCAGTACTTACTTGAGTTCCTTAAATGGAAATTTATTTTTTCTCAGGTAAAGAAGCAGAAACATTTAACAGCACACATCTCTACACTGTCGACAACAGGATGTCATACTCCCTCTCATCTTAATCTGCTAAGCGAGTTCTGTACAAGAGAAGCCAGGGTTAGGGGTTTAGATCATGCTAGTGGGTCTGTGAGTTAGAGGGTAGGTGCAGAAGGAGAGTTAGAACTTCTTTAAACATTTCCCCCTAAGATTTGTTAGTCAAGAAAGCAGGATTTTGAGTTTGGTGGTGTGGCATGCTGCTGCTGCTAATTATTGATAATGGTAGTAGGAGGAAATGATAATGATGATTATTGTTAGCAGTAAGAATTTTTTGAGTATTTTTCATGTATCATGGCCCAAAGCAGTTATCTTCTTTAATCCTCTCAGCAATCTTGCAAAATAGCCATCCTCCCATTTTATAATTAGAAAGCTGCCTTTAAGAGCTTTAGAATGTTTTCAAGATCACACTTTTAGAGAGTGTTACAGTCAGAATTATACAAGATTTGGTTGACATGTCTCCCAATATTATTAAGTTAAAGATTTATTCTCCTGAAGGGAAGTAGAGGAACATCTAGGAGTCAGAATGCATCACAGACCATAATAAAGTTTAGGTTACTGCAGATGGTTTATTTCTTTGTAAAAGCCAGTCTGGCACTTGGCACTTTGAAGAAACATAGGCTCTATACTTCTTTTTTTTAATGTATATATATATACATCTTACAAACCGGGGGAGTCTTTTGTCCTGTATGCAGCATTCATCATCAGCTAGGGTGTCCTATGGAGCAGACCATCACTTAACGTTTTTTAAACATGGATGTCTCTGTTGAACAGTATCACTTAATATTTTAAAAACATTGAACATTAAGTTTAGGCTAACTAACCCTTACTCATGATTCAACGCACAAAGAAATTCAAGAAGTGAAAAGATTTCCACCTTGTGCTGCATACCTTTCCTTGCCGGATTACAGCAGTGCAAAATTAAGCACTATCACTCATATGTGTTTGCGGAGTTTCAAAAATATAAACATTGGTGTTGAATTATTGTATTCCTAAAATCAACCATCAGTAACTTTGTAAGTCAATTATGGCTCTTTAATAAAAAAGAATAGAAGAATTTTAGAAATAAAATCTAAGCAAGTATAAATATTATTTTTCTTTTGTAAACAGCATATTTTGGAGACTTGCCTATTTTACTAAACAACTACTTTGTAACTCTATATAGTATTTAATTTTATCCTTTTTCTATTTGTTTTTTAATTAAAATTTTGGTTTTGGTCCATACCCAGTGTTGCTCAGGGCTAACACCTGGCTCTGTGCTTGCAGATCACTCCTGGTAGACTCGGGACCATATGGGGTACTGGGGATTAAACCCAGACTGTCCTTGTCCAAGGCAGGTGCCCTACTCCCTCGCATTAGTATTGCTCTAACTCCATTTTCTCATTTATTTTTAGTTACATTATAATGGTGAACCACATTCACTTAATAACTATTCTTTTGCTGGACATTTTATCACTCAATTTTATGCTATTACAGATAACAAAATATGAATGCTTCATGTAACGTGTACATGTAGCACTGTAGCACTGTCCTTCTGTTGTTCATCTATTTGCTCGAGCGGGTAGGTAGAATAATTTCTTCCTAAAGGTTTGGATTTACTGGAATTTTTGTCTTGAAGGAGATGCAGTTACATTTTATATTAACTTTTGGAAAGCTCTTCTGCAGGTGATACGACTAGGCAGGTAGATATCAGGAAGCTCATCTTGGGAAGTCCAAAAGGATGACAGGTTTGGTCTTTTTCTTCACACAGGACTCATGGAATGTGTGTTGACATGTCAGAGGTTCTCAGTGTCATTCCTGTTTTCCTGGAAGCATCAGGTCACAGTGATAGTTGTTTTTTTTTTTTTTTTTTTTTTTGGCTGCAGATTCTTGGGGCCTCCAGACTGACTGACAAGCCTGCCAGGCTGGTGTCTCGGTCATTTTTTAACATCCCCCATGGCTATGGTTTTGGATTCCTTTTATCATAAAATGATGGAAACCTCATTTCTAAATTTTGCTCATTTTTAAAAACTTGTGCTCTGAACTCTTCGAGCAGTCGTGGTGCTTTCATGCCGACTTACTACTATTTTTCTCTGCACTTTGTCAAATGTCAAATATGTGTTAGAGTGTGGCTGGAACTCTAACAGTGTCCAATTAACAGGCTGTTAACTTGCTTATATGGAACTTCATTTTTTAATTTGGGGTTCTTCCCTATGTACTTGCTAATTGGCTCCCAAGTAAGAATAACTAGAAAGGCAAAATCATGGATATATCAACAGAGAACTATGTGCGAACTATTTCAGAATACTTTTACATCCCTGTAGTGTGTAGTAAACTCCTTGTCTCTAGTAGAGAGTGGGAGATGGTTGGAAGTTTTCTCTGGGAAGTGTAAGTTGGTGGAGTGAGTGAGAACTACAGAACTGGAGGGGAGGGAGAGTGGCAAGAGAATACAGAAGATTAATTGCCATAAGGGGACTTTTACAGGATCAAATTAGTGAGTTCATGCTCTCTTTAGAGAGTTGAGGGGACTGGGAACTTAGAGAGGTAACTCAAAATCCAGCCAACAGGATAAAATGTGGGTCTCCAACTTTTCAACAACACCCTAAATTGTTTATACTGATGGTTCAGTTTGTTCCCTAGTCTGACTTGAAACAGTTCATGTGACTGTTTAAAGAATGCTGACGGTTTCAAGAAGATAGAGATTTATTAAAAGGCTGGTCTAAAATTGAGGGACAAAATGACATGTAAAATCTATATGTTAAAATAGCTTTTGCTATCTGCATCAGCCAGTGCTAACATGAAAAGTTTCTTTGGATACATGTCCACAGTTTACTGTAAGAACTGAAATTCATGTGACTTGCCTGAAGTTCCAAGAGAGTTTACCATTAATGATGAACGCAAAAGTACAGACAATTTGTTTAGCTTTGAATCTTGTAAACACCACCAAGAACCCTCCTGTGTCCAGATGACTTTATGCCTTTCATCCCTCATCTGAATAATGTCTCTTCATGAGAATAATGTCTCTTCATGAGCCAAGGGCAAATTAAATCAGGGCATTGTTTTTATAACACCTTGAGCTAAGATATTCAAAGTTGCCTTCTCTTCTTTCTGCATTAATGTTCAGTGGGACCTCAAAATCAAAACCTCCAATTAGGAATTATTCCTGGTGTGGCTCAGGGGCCATATGGGATGCCAGGGATTGAACCCAGGTCAGCTGTGTGCAAGGCGAATGCCTTACCTACTATACTATCGCTCTGGTCCCAGCACTCGGATTTTTTTGAAGGCAAAAAATGCACTGTGCCTGACACGTTGCTACAAATCTGAATGTCAACATGATTGGGATGGTGCCCCCAGGAAACATTTGCCCTGGTGGCCTTGTGGGACAGATGCTATCAACTGCTTTATTGTGAGCAGTAATCTTTTGCACTTTCCTGTGTGTAGACTGGTGATGTACATCGAGAGAGACAGCAGAAAGACCTCTCCAGGCAAGGAGCCACAAAGCGGCAATGAGTACCTGTCCAAATGCCTGGACCTCCTCATCTGTCACATTGTGCAGGAGCTGCCACGAGTCCTGGGTAAATTGGAGTCTCATCCTCGGGCCCTCGCTGCCTGCCTCTTTTTCACTTGCCTTTCAGACATCACGACTTTTTGTTCTTGCTTGTCTGTTTCTGCAGGCGAGTGCCATGACACTTTTTTTTTTGCATGTGTAGGTAGTTTCAAGATTTAAAATATCCCTTCCCTGTTTTTATGGTGATTTTGCCTCAACAGACAGGCTAAGGGTCACATTTGGGGTATTATCTGCGGTAAACAGAAAATTTTGGAATGTAAGCAAAAAAAAAAACCCATTTTAATCATTTACAAGTAAACTTGTGTTGTTATTTTAAGAAACTTTACTCAAGATTTTCTTCTATCTTATTCTGAAGAAAAAGACTTTCCCTCAGGTTAGTCTTACTGTTAAAAGAATTTAAAAGTTCATAGGTTTTCATATTGGATGTGAAAAAATTTTGTTATTAAATTAGAAATTTATTTGGTTTGAAATTTTAAGATGAGATTCTCATAATGAGTTTCAAAGGGCATTTATTACAGCTTAAAAATTCCATCTTATGTGGAAATTTTAATGTAGAAATTAAAATAATTATCTATAGAAATTAAATAACTTAAGGAGTGTATGGATTAACTTTAAATTATATGCCATGCTTTTCCAGCAGATGTAGCTATAAACCAAAAATGTTTAAAATTTAAAATTGGATACAACCCATAATGATAAAATATATTTAAAATAAAAAGTTTAGAATGTTGTCAAAGTAATGAGAACCTCTTCATAACTGTCAGTACCATTTTTCACATCACTAATACTTTAGGAAACGTTTTACTTATAAATGACTGAAAATAGAGCATCTCAAAATTTCTTTGGGATTATAATATTTTAAAATTTCCAATCTGAAGGCCATGATCTGGTCAGTTACTAAACTCAATTTATCATGTGAAAAGGTTCTGAGGTCCACAAGTTTTATTTTTTATTGGACTTTTTATTCCATAAGAACTTTCAGGACTTCATTTCTTTTTACTTTCATTCTGTTATTAAAGCAGTTTTTATTTGTAATATGTTCTCTTAATTTTTAGATAATGTTCTCTAGTTTATAAAGGCAGTAACTCCTGGTTGAAATTCTTTTTCTTCCTTCTCAAAAGGAGAAGAAAAAGAATTTTTGGAAAACTGCTACTCTCCCATAATCATTTATACATTTTCCTCGATGTCATTTGCAGGTGACATTCTTAATGCCTTGGCTACCATTTCTGGTCGCAAACACCCATCAACAGTCCAAGTGAAGCAGCTGAAGATGTTTCTTCCACTGATGCCCATAGTGCTTCACCTCGTAACTTCTCAGGTATGGTCTTAGTCAGAAAAGGAGCAACAGCAATTTCGGTGACTTCCTTTTTTGTAAACTGGAGCTAAGAAAAGTCAACTCAGCCAAAACTTTTCCCTCTCTGTCTTTCTCCCTTTCTTTCTGGCATATGGCTTTCAGGATTTAATCTGTGGAAACTCTCTCATCACACAGGTTTTCCTACCGCAGGTGGTCACAGAAGAGTTCCTTTTCAGCTATGGAACTGTTCTGGTGAGTAATGCTAAATTTTGCACGTTCCTAATAAAAATGTGGCTATCTTTACTATTTGTGGAATTTAGTATCAGAATGAGGTAATTTAAAAAAACAAGAACAAAAAAAACCCTTTTGGTATTTATTTGTCTCTAGGGATGTGACCTTTTTATATTTTTATCTATTGATTGTAATAAAATTTGACATTTGGAGAAAAATACATTCTCTCCTGATAATGTATTTTGTTCAGAGACAGCCCCAAGTAGGGTAAATAAGGCTGTAGAACATTTTCATAGGTTTTCATATTAAACCTCATGAAAAAATTTAATAAAACTGGTGAGACTGGAAGAGTGGAAATACATGACCATTATTTACTTCAGTTTATGTGGTCTAGCTTTGTCTCTTTTTATGATGCCCTTTCTTTTAAGTTAAGCTCCATTCAACATTTTCTTTAATTTTGATGAGCTGGATCTCTATGTAAAACAAATCACTGCGCTATCTCTCATTTTCAGTTTTGCTCAGAGAAATAGTCCTTTTGTGCAGGTGGTGGCTCTTGAATTACGTTGCTTTCATTTCTTTTTTTTTTTTTTTAAATTTAGGAGTACTGCTATTCATTCAGCCACTGATTAGCTGATTGAATTGTGCATGAACTCCACCTTACTATTTTTTTCATTTTTTATAATTTTATTTATTGAATCCATTTATTACTGGATTTGGCATATCAATTTGGTCTATTTGGCATAGACTACGGATAGCTTGCCAGGCTCTGCCGTGCGGGTTGGATATTTAAGGATATTTAAGGTACCCTGAAAACTTAGAGAAAAGTAAATAAATAGTTGCGCGGCCGCAAATGTGGCCGTGCGCTCCCAGGAGCTTGTTGTGATAATCTCTGGATCCTGGCCGTTGTTGGGATTACACGGCAGTTGGAGGGTGTAACTGTCTAGCTACTGACAGGTCCAGTCCCAAACCGTGCAGGCTTGAAGATCTCAGCCCCGGGTCCCACACATCTGGGTTCCTCTGCCAGTTCTGTTATGTCTGAGGCTTATCCAAGTGTGTGGAGAGTGGCCCCAGTAAGGCCTTGGTTGGGGCCTGGAGGTCTTCAGCTGTTGGGCCCTGGCGAGGATAGTCAGACACAGGGTAGGAGACTCTGCCTTGTGCTCTCCCGGGAGCTTGTTGTGATAATCTCTGGATCCTGGCCGTTGTTGGGGTTACACGGCAGTTGGAGGGTGTAACTGTCTAGCTACTGACAGGTCCAGTCCCAAACCGTGCAGGCTTGAAGATCTCAGCCCCGGGTCCCACACATCTGGGTTCCTCTGCCAGTTCTGTTATGTCTGAGGCTTATCCAAGTGTGTGGAGAGTGGCCCCAGTAAGGCCTTGGTTGGGGCCTGGAGGTCTTCAGCTGTTGGGCCCTGGCGAGGATAGTCAGACACAGGGTAGGAGACTCTGCCTTGTGCTCTCCCGGGAGCTTGTTGTGATAATCTCTGGATCCTGGCCGTTGTTGGGGTTACACGGCAGTTGGAGGGTGTAACTGTCTAGCTACTGACAGGTCCAGTCCCAAACCGTGCAGGCTTGGAGATCTCAGCCCCGGGTCCCACACACCTGGGTTCCTCTGCCAGTTCTGTTATGTCTGAGGCTTATCCAAGTGTGTGGAGAGTGGCCCCAGTAAGGCCTTGGTTGGGGCCTGGAGGTCTTCAGCTGTTGGGCCCTGGCGAGGATAGTCAGACACAGGGTAGGAGACTCTGCCTTGTGCTCTCCCGGGAGCTTGTTGTGATAATCTCTGGATCCTGGCCGTTGTTGGGGTTACACGGCAGTTGGAGGGTGTAACTGTCTAGCTACTGACAGGTCCAGTCCCAAACCGTGCAGGCTTGGAGATCTCAGCCCCGGGTCCCACACACCTGGGTTCCTCTGCCAGTTCTGTTATGTCTGAGGCTTATCCAAGTGTGTGGAGAGTGGCCCCAGTAAGGCCTTGGTTGGGGCCTGGAGGTCTTCAGCTGTTGGGCCCTGGCGAGGATAGTCAGACACAGGGTAGGAGACTCTGCCTTGTGCTCTCCCGGGAGCTTGTTGTGATAATCTCTGGATCCTGGCCGTTGTTTCACGTTGAATCACAGATACCATTGGGCTACGCTAGCACACAACCGGGATGAATGGAGACGTTACTGGCACCCGCTCGAATAAATCGATGAATAATGGGGATTAAGTGAATAAGTGATAAGTGATTATTTATTGAATCACTGAGAGCAGTTACAAAGCTTTTGGGTCTAAGTCTCGATCATACAATGAAACACCAGTGCCCATTCTTCACCACCAAAAACCCTACTATACTCCCATCCCACACCCTCCCCCTACCTGTGGGGCAGATGATTTCCACATTACTCTCTCTCTACTTTGATCACATTCAATATTTCGACACCAGGCCCACCATTATTATTTGAGATTTTTCCCCAATACTCAGATCTGCTGAAAAGGCAACAGTAGACAATTTGTGTTCTATTGCTGGTTATGAATAACATATGATGTTATGTGGCTGCAGTCGGGCCATGTGATTTTGAAATTCCGAAATTTTAACACATAAATCTGGAGGGATTTCTGCCAAAAGCCACTGGGTTTCGAGATTGGGACAGAGAGACCAGTAATGGCTCCACCTCCACCCCCATCCTGTGAGGCCCAACAAGTTTCGTCACAGCGGGCCCAGACTTGACTGTCCAGTGGCTCTGGAGGATGACGGCTATTGAGCTTCCAAGGGGGAGCAGGCAGAAGCTCAACATCCTGTCCCCTCTGGGGTGGCCCAGCGACAGTAACCTACTGCAGGGTCCGGACGCATTTCTGCCCAAAGCCGCTGGGTTTCGAGATTTGTTTCTAAGTCTCTGGGATCATGGCCTTAAGCAGCTTGATCAGGAGCCAGAGAGGCCATTCGTGGGTGATGACTTGGGGTCTCTTTGGGGTGGGGAGGACAGGCCCGGCTCCATCCCCATCCCGTGAGGCCCAACAAGTTTCGTCACTGCAGGCCCAAGCCTGACTGTCCAATGGCCTCTGGAGGATGACGGCCACCGAGCTGCCAGGGGGAGGGTCAACACCCTTTCCCCCCTGGGGTGGCACAGCTACAGTAACCTTCTGCGTGGTCCGGACGTATTTCTGCCCAAAGCCGCTGGGTTTCGAGATTTGTTTCTTAGTCTCTGGGATCATGCCCAGTAAGCAGCTTGATCAGGAACCAGAGAGGCTGTTCGTGGGTGATGACTTGAGGTTTCATTGGGGTGGGGAGGTCAGGCCCGGCTCCACCCCCATCCTGTGAGGCCCAAAATGTCTTGTCACTGCGGGCCCAGACCTGACTGTCCAATGGCCTCTGGAGGATGACAGCCACTGAGCCACCAAGGGGAAGCAGGTGGAGGGACAACACCCTTTACCCCCTGGGGTGGCCCGGCAACAGTAATGTACTATGGGGTCTGGACACATTTCTGCCAAAAGCCTCTGGGTTTCGAGATTTGTTTCTTAGTCTCTGGGATCATGGCCATTAAGCAGCTTGATCAGGAGCCAGAGAGGCCATTTGTGGGCCATGACTTGGGGTCTCGTTGGGGTGGGAAGGACTGCTTTCCTTTCTTGCCTGAAATAGTTACAGTATATGTTGGATAAAGTGGGGAGTAGTACAAAAGGAAACTCATAATAATAATTAGCACTGAATGCATATTTCAAAGATGCCATTAGGATATCTAATTATGATGAAACAAACATCTTTTTGTTTGTTTGTTTTTTTTGCTTTTTGGGTCACACCCAGTGATGCTCAGGGGTTACTCCTGGCTCTGCACTCAGGAATTACTCCTGGCAGTGCTTGGGGCACCATATGGGATGCCAGGAACCGAACCTGGGTCAGCTGTGTGCAAGGCAAACACCCTTCCTGCTGTGCTATTGCTCCGGCCCCAATTCAAACATCTTAATTTGATCATTTGGTATGAAAATGTGATTGCATACACAAGTGAGAATATAGCTCCCTGGAAAGTGCTTCATGCAAGCAAGCCGGGTTCCGGAAAGGATTCAGCACCATCGACCATATCCACACGATAACCAAGCTCATTGAAGTTTCTCGGGAGTTCAAGATGCCGCTCTGTTTAACGTTCATTGATTTAAAGAAGGCCTTTGATTTTGTTGAGACGGAAGCGGTCATTGAAGTCCTAGCCAATCAGGGTATTCAAGCCCAATACATCAAGATTCTCCGTGAGCTGTATTGCGGATTCACTACCAGGATCTTACCATTCTACAAAGAAGTAATCATTGATGTCAAGAGAGGGGTTCGGCAGGGTGATACCATTTCACCGAAACTCTTCAGTGCCACCCTCGAGAACATCATGCGACGACTGGAATGGGAAGGAATGGGAGTGAAGATAGATGGTCAGCAACTACACCACGTCTGCTTTGCTGATGACATTGTTTTAATAACACAAACATCAGCCAAGCGACACAAATGCTGGCCGACTTTGACCGGGAGTGTGGAAAGGTAGGACTACAGCTGAATCTTATGAAGACAATGTTTATGAGAAACAGCCTGGTTCCTGATGCCCCATTCGCTCTCAACGGAACGATCATCTCTGAATGCAACAGCTATGTGTACCTAGGTCGAGAAGTCAACATGACAAATGACCTGGCACCCGAGCTGCGCAGGAGGAAGAGAGTGGCTTGGAACGCCTTCAAGAACGTCGAAGAAATAGCTAAGAGGACGAAGAACCTCCGGCTCCGGGCACATCTCTTTGATTCCACTGTTCTTCCTGCATTAACATACGCCTCAGAGACCTGGGCTCTACGCAAACAGGATGAGAACGCTACTCAGGTCTCCCGAAGAAGAATTGAAAGAGCTATGCTTGGAATATCACATTTCACTCAAATGAGAGAAAGAATCTGGAGTTCCGACATCCGTCTACGATCAAGAATCAGGGATGCTGTCTCGTTTGCCAATGTGTCAAAAATCAGATGGGCTGGTCACGTAATGAGATTTAAAGACAACCGCTGGACTAGAGCTGTTACCGACTGGATTC